GTGAATAGTGACAGATTAAGAGTTAAAGTAACATTGTCGCATGATTCTGAGGTGGTCTATAGTCCTTCTCAATGTGCAGATTTGCTGGATGATAGCCGTTAGTATTTTAAATTTGTTATTTTTATTTTTTGCACTCTTTGAATTTAATTTAACGTACATACATGGGGTTTTATATTACTTTTTTCATTTTACATTCATTGTCTTGATTAGGGAATAGTATGAATTAATACTTATCAAATTGTTTTCACTTATGTTTATACTTACTTTTGTTATAAACATTAAACGTTCTGTTATCACATATAAATTGTATTTATTGCTAAATGCTTACTGATAACCAGTTTCTGTATTCCAAATGGGTACTCTGATTGGGTAATCACTTTTATGTGGTTATTCATTTGATTTAAAATAACTGTATATTGATTTATTCCGCAAATATTATATATGTATGAAATACATAATTACAAATGTTTAATTTTATATTCATTTTCAATTATAATAAATTATCTTTCTTAATTTATCATTATTTGATTAACATTTTTTGCTAATGATTAGCTGTTTGTTATAATATTATATTATTTTGAAATATGTTTGTTATTTTTATTAATATTATATCTTTTTATCTTTTCTGGTTCCCCACAGAGATATTGTTTTTTTATAATGATACCTTATAACCTAACAGCTGGTCCTCAACTCAGTGTGAATTCTTGCTTTAGAACTGCTTTGCAACATCATGTATGTAATTTTAATGCTGCCAATTTGAATTGTCAGGGTATTAAGCCTTCTGCAAATCGTTCAAAGTTTGATGAGTTAAATGCTCTATTAACTGATGCACAGTGGTATAGGAAAAAAAAAAAGAGGGAAATAATTCGGTAACTTCTAAACGGTTAATCCGATTTTAATGAAATTTGGTGTGCACAAAGAGGAGGTGTTGTCGAGTTTAGGTTTTGAATTTGGACCTTATAGGCCAACCAGGGGCCCGGCGGGGGGTCCTCAAATTAGGACACCTCGGCTATGTTAAATTTTTAAAACGATCCTATTTCTTCATTTGAGTTCCGATTTAAAAAAAATTTCGTATATAGAATCTCCTCATCGAGCACTATAAAAAATGTCGTCGTAGCAGTAAATTATCTCTTATAGTTTAGGAGATATTCGCATTTGAATATTAAAATTTTAAAATTTTTACCGTCCTTACTTTAGTTTTTTTGATAATAGCAGGTCCAAATATTTCCGATCTTCGCCATTTTTTTTTATTTGCTTAACAACAAGTTTATATACCAAGCAGTGAAAGAATTATGTAAAAATCATGACTGAGTCCAAAGTTATAGGCATTTAAATTTAAAAAATTAAAAAAAGGCGATTTTTTGACATTTTTTTGGGAAAAAAGTATATTTTTCTTTTTAAGTTATCTAAAAAGTTTCTAAGAAGATGTATATAGAATTTATACTTTTTGGAAAGCTGACTTTACATAAAATACGATAAATGAAACAAAACCTAAAAATTTTTGATACCGAGGGGACCAGGTCCATCCAAAAAAACCCTATTTTTTATGGAAAATTAAATTTTGAGCAAAAATTCTCAAATCGCATAGTCGATATCAAATTATAGTGACCTGTTTTATATGACCCAATATGTTCTTAATCATTTTGTAACGGGTTTCGATAACCCCGCCCCTGGTATGGATATAATAGGCAAAAAACTAAAAAATCCCATTTTTGGGATTTTTTAAAACTTTTTTGGGAATTCCGGGATTTCTAATAAGAAAATTCGAAATTTTGATTTAATTTTGGATTTTAAGTAAAAAAATCTACCTAACTGTAAAATTTCATCAAAAAATATTCATAAATAAAATTTTTATTGCAATTAGAAAAATTTGTATCTTCGCAAAAACTGAATAAAAAACATTTTTTAATTTTTTTTAAAAAAAGTATTCCGCGAATTTTTTAATTTTCAAAAATTATATACAGTTTTGAAAAATAGACAAAATTACCTTTCCATTGATATATAACATGCCTACCTAATGTTTTTTAAGTGACAAATTAATTAGGGAAAACTCAACATCTTTTAGAAAATTTGCCTAGCACTATTATTTTCATCCATAAGGTTAACTCTTAAATTTGTTACATATATGGATGAAAATAATAGTGCTAGGTAAATTTTCTAAAAGATGTTGAGTTTTCCCTAATTAATTTGTCACTTAAAAAACATTAGGTAGGCATGTTATATATCAATGGAAAGGTAATTTTGTCTATTTTTCAAAACTGTATATAATTTTTGAAAATTAAAAAATTCGCGGAATACTTTTTTTAAAAAAAATTAAAAAATGTTTTTTATTCAGTTTTTGCGAAGATACAAATTTTTCAAATTGCAATAAAAATTTTATTTATGAATATTTTTTGATGAAATTTTACAGTTAGGTAGATTTTTTTACTCAAAATCCAAAATTAAATAAAAATTTCGAATTTTCTTATTAGAAATCCCGGAATTCCCAAAAAAGTTTTAAAAAATCCCAAAAATGGGATTTTTTGGTTTTTTGCCTATTATATCCATACCAGGGGCGGGGTTATCGAAACCCGTTACAAAATGATTAAGAACTTATTGGGTCATATAAAACAGGTCACTATAATTTGATATCGACTATGCGATTTGAGAATTTTTGCTCAAAATTTAATTTTCCATAAAAAATAGGGTTTTTTTGGATGGACCTGGTCCCCTCGGTATCAAAAATTTTTAGGTTTTGTTTCATTTATCGTATTTTATGTAAAGTCAGCTTTCCAAAAAGTATAAATTCTATATACATCTTCTTAGAAACTTTTTAGATAACTTAAAAAGAAAAAGATACTTTTTTCCCAAAAAAATGTCAAAAAATCGCCTTTTTTTAATTTTTTAAATTTAAATGCCTATAACTTTGGACTCAGTCATGATTTTTACATAATTCTTTCACTGCTTGGTATATAAACTTGTTGTTAAGCAAATAAAAAAAAAATGGCGAAAATCGGAAATATTTGGACCTGCTATTATCAAAAAAACTAAAGTAAGGACGGTAAAAATTTTAAAATTTTAATATTCAAATGCGAATATCTCCTAAACTATAAGAGATAATTTACTGCTACGACGACATTTTTTATAGTGCTCGATGAGGAGATTCTATATACGAAATTTTTTTTAAATCGGAACTCAAATGAAGAAATAGGATCGTTTTAAAAATTTAACATAGCCGAGGTGTCCTAATTTGAGGACCCCCCGCCGGGCCCCTGGTTGGCCTATAAGGTCCAAATTCAAAACCTAAACTCGACAACACCTCCTCTTTGTGCATACCAAATTTCATTAAAATCGGATTAACCGTTTAGAAGTTACCGAATTATTTCCCTCTTTTTTTTTTCCTATACCACTGTGTGATGGTTTTTTTTGATGTGTTTGCTGTTAGCGAAACGTGGTTAAAACCATACATTACATGTCGTGCGGTTGAAATTCCTGGATTCAATATTTGTAGAAATGATAGATTGTATTCTAGAGGTAGTGGAGTTGCGATATATATTTCCAGTGGAATTAAGTATAGAAAAGTGTTTCAAATTTCAGAACTTTGAATATGTGAGTCGTTATTTGTTGAATTGATATTTGTTCTTTTGAATGTTTTCATCATGACCTTTTTTTGAGTTATAATAATATCATTATCGTGGGGGATTATAACTGCAATTTGTTTGGTACTGTAAAATCTAATTATATGAGATCTTTGTGCTTTAGACTTAATTTGGCTATTGTTCATAACTCAAAACCAACACACTACGATATTGCTCATGGATCAACATCACTTACTGACTATTGGTTGGTTAGTGATTTTTCTATGGTATGACCAAATTAGTTGTCCATCTATATCGCACCATGAATTTCTGTTTGCGTCTTTTGTGATGAAAGTTGAGAAAGCTAAGGAATATATTGAATTCCACTATTTTAATCAATAGAGGTGCTGGCTGTGTTGGGATTGATTCAATGACATATGAGGGTGATATTAATGAATTGAATGATTTCTTTGCTTCGGGTAACAGTACACATTCTAATATTGACTTAACGAACTTTGATAATTCGATTGACTCTTTCCCATTTCGTTGTATTGATGAAATAGAACTAATAGAAGCGTTGAATAAAGTTAAATCTAATTCGGTTGGTACTGACAATATTTCTATTCGATTTGTTAAATTAGTTTATCCTTATATATCTAATTATATACATACTTAATTTGATTAACTCTATTTTAATAACTTCTTTACCTAAGTCTGTGGTAGTTCATGAACGGAAAGATTTTCGGCCTATATCTATTCTTCCAGCATTATCTAAAGTTGTTGAACACCTTATCCGAAATCAAATGTTAGAATTAGGTTTAAATTGTATCTATGAGAAACAATATGCATTTCGTAGTGGATTTAGCACAACCTCTCTGCTTTTAAGTTTGACTGATAAAATTAGAAATAATGTGAATAATAATGAGTTTAGTGTTCTAATTTCCCTAGATCTTTCTAAAGCGTTCAATAATACCAATCATTGTCAACTTATTTATAAGCTCCGGAATGAGTTTAATTTCTCAAAATCAGCATGTAAATTAATTCTTTCATATCTAGATGGCAGATCTCAGTTTGTTCAAATGAATGGGGTTAGTTCAGGGTTACGATAATTCATTGTGTATTAACCCTAATAAGACGAAAGCCATTTTGTTTGGACTTACAAATCGGTTTTTTGCTGATTTAAATATTTTCTTGGGTGATGTTAGAATTGATTTTGTTGACCAACTTAAATGTCTTGGTGTCATGTTGGATTGCAAACTTTCATTTGCTCATCACATTGACTTATTAAGTTTTAGAGTTTTTGGTATCTTGCGTAAATTACACTCTACGGATTTGTATTTACCATCTAGGGTTAGATATAAATTAGCTTATGCCTTGTTGATGTCTCAGGTACTATATGGTTTTGAGGTTATCACTGGTACAAGTGCTATGTATTTGAATTAGAGATGAGCGATACTTTCACGACTGTAATTTAATCACTGTGATTGATAATTCACTGGTAGCTGCTGTGACTGAAATGATCAAATAACAGTTACTTGCAATGTCGTTCTTTTGAATTTTTACCTTCTAAAATTTATTTAATTTTTGTTGAATCAAATACGTATTACAAGATAGTATGCATGCAATTCGACATTTTTTCATATAGTAAACTCTTCTCGCTCTGATGACAACAATATTATTTTGTTCAGTTATATTTATGTATATACTTAATATAAGACCCAATAAAATACGAAAATCGAAAAAATATTAATATTGTTTTGGTTTATAAGTGAAAACCGTGATCACAGTCACTGTTTTAAAGAACAGTGATTTACAAATCACGTTCACTAAGAACGACGTTCTTTAGAAATCACTGTATCGCTCATCTCTAATTTGAATAGAATTAGACGTTTAATTAATGCTGTTGTACGTTTTGTATACAATATACGAATTCGGGAACATATATCGTCACATGTTCTGCGTTTCCTTCATTGCTCTTTTTATGATTTTGTAAACTTCCGTAATATGGTTTTCTTTATAGGGTTATAAAAAACTTTAAACCTCTTCCCTTGTATTGCTCTTTTATGTTTATGCGATCTACAAGAAACCCACAAATATTAATTCCTAGAATATCTTCATCTTTCTTGGAAAAATCCCTTTTAGTTCGCATTGCAAAGTGGTGGAACGTTTTTTTGAAGGCCACCTTCACCTATGGGAAGTAGGGTCAATTATGAACCGATCCACATAAAGTTTGATAGAAAGATTTTTGCTTCATTGAAACTTATGTGTGTCGAATCTCATCACTATACTCGAATTATTAAGCCAGTAATGAGCATTAAAGTCATATTCTGAAGGGGACCTTATATGGGGGGTAGGGTTAATTATGGACCGATCAACATAAAATTAGTTAGGGAGATTTTGGATCATATGAAACTTATGTGTGTTAAATTCCATCAATATACCCGTATTTTTAAGCCAATAATGAGCGTTAAAGTCATTTTCTGAAGGGGACCTTATATGAGGGGTAGGGTCAATTAGGAACCGATCAACATAAAATTTGGTAGAGAGGTTTTGGCTTACTTATGTCAAATTTCGTTGTTATACTAGTATTTTTAAGCCAGTATTGAGCGTTAAACTAATTTTTTGAAGGGGACATAATATGGGAGGTACGGTCAACTATAAACTGATCCACATAAAACTTGATAGAGAGATTTTGGCTACATTGAAACTTATATGTGTCGAATTTCATCACTATATTTTTAAGCCAGTAATGAGCGTTAAAGTAATTTTCTGAAGGGGCGTCTTATATGGGGGGGTAGGGCAATATTAGACCGATCCTGATAAAATTTGGTACGTAGATTTTGGATCATATGAAACTTATTTGTGTCAAATTTTATCGCTATACTCGTACTTTTGAAAGAGATGTGCCCATTAAAGCTGTTTTTCGGGCGTCCACTTTTTCCGAAAACATGAACCGATATTGGCTATTTTCAATACCAAACAAACCTTACCTATAGAGAATATCTGTGAAAAATTTCAATCCTCTATCTCGTTCCGTTCGGACTCTAGGGTGCATTCAACAGACAGACAGAAAGACGGACGGACAGACATGGCTAGATCCTCTTAGAATTTAATAAGGACCCAGAATATATTACTTTTGTGTATATGTATATTCCATCCCTATATTATAAACATAATGTTCTGTATTAAAATCGACCCATAATAAGTGGAGTTGGTCCATTTGCGTACTAAGCTAAAAATATTATTTATGCAGTTTATTTTTAAAAATTTAAATATTTTACAATAAGAAACCTTATTTTTTCTAGTATTTTTTCTTTATTTTTAGCACTTTCTAGCATTTTTTTCAAAACAATCTAGCAATTTTTTGCAATTAGGTTTTGACAACACTGCCCTCCACCACCATCAGTGGTGATAAAGGGTATATATAACTTCGTCATTCCGTGTGTAACACCCAGAACTATTCAATATGAAAATGAGCAAAATCGGTTCACATCGGAAAAAGTTATAAAACAAAATTTGAAAAAACTCCGAAAAAATTAAGCTTTTTTTACATATTCTAATGTAATTTAAAAAAAAACTGTGCAATATAACTCCATGAAAATCATCGCACATTTGTTTCTATACAAGTGCTTTATTCTAACTTCCGTTTGAATGTCGATATCTTCACAAAATTTTGCAAATTAAAGTTTTTTAGGATCAGAAAATCATTTCAACGTACATAACTCATTATCAAATAATGATATTCATTCAAAATTTGGCACACATATTACCTTTGCATACAGAAATGTTATTTTAAAATTGTTTCGCGATGGGTCCATATTTGGTCATAGCTCCCATACAAAGTCCCTTCCCGAAAATCACTTAAACGCACAAAACTCATTTCTAAATTAAAACATCCATACAAAATTTGGTGCAAATAAGGTCCTCTTCAGAAAATAATTTAAACGTACATAATTCATTATCAAATAAAGATATTCATTCAAAATTTGGCACACATATTACCTTTGCATACAGAAATGTTACTGTGAAATTTTTTCCGATCAGTCCATAATTGGTCCTATCTCCCATACAAGGTCCCCTCTAGAAAATCACTTAAACGCAAATAACTCATTACTAAATTAAGATATCCTTATAAATTTGGTACAAGTATTGCTCTTATATACAGAAATATTACTGTAAGATTTTTTTCCGATCGGTCCATAATTGGTCATAGCTCCCATACAAGGTCCCCAACCGAAAATCATTTAAACGCACATAACTCATTACCAAATATTGATATCCATACATTTAGCACAAATATTGCTCTTATATACATAAATGACACTATAAAATTTTTTCACGATCGGTCCATATTTGGTCATAGCTCCCATACAAGGTCCCCTCCAGAAAATCACTTTAATGCACAATATTCATTATCAAATAATGATATACATAGATACAGAATATTAATGTTACTGTGGAATATTTTTACGATCGGACGGTGGAGGGAATTTAAGATTCGGCTACTCTAGCCTCTATATACTTAATTTCAGGTTTCTAGGTTCAATATTATAGAAAACTAGCTATACCCAGTGCGTTTTGCTACCATAAAATCAATTGTGACACTTTCAAAACAGAAATGTATAGACAATTTTTTTTAGAATTTAGGATAGGGGCACACTTATCCCGAAAAGAATTGCTGCTAAATTTGGTATATGTTGCAATTTGGATTCCTTTTTAAAAGTGTCCTGGGTAGGCGGCCTTCGGCAGGACGCAGGTATTTTACACTCTGGGGTATTTTGAATACCGGCTTCGCTAATTTAAGCATTTTTTGATAAATGGACCCTTTGAAATCCATGGACTTTCTGTCACATTGCTTTTGGACATTATGACACTTTTGAAATTGTCATAACGTCCATGGACATTATGACTCAATTTAGTGTGTCATAAGGTCTATGGACATTATGTCACTGGACATTATGACACGCCACCGAAAAAAAGACACTTTACGATTTTGAAGATTCTAACTATAATAGTTTTCCAGATATACATTTTTTACATTTTGGGGATGTCACTCAAATAATTCCAAACGTTAATTTAGATTTTAATGTAACCTATGAAAAATTTGATGAACAACATTTTGTATTTAATTCATATGGGAGATGCCAATTTGAGGGCTCTATCTGTTATATTTTCTCAGATATACTGATTTAAGATTTTCTTCATATGGAAGGTGCCACACCCACTATAGCCATTCCGCCCGTTTTATTAAAAAATATTCTTATGGATGTAAATGTTGTCCATACAATATGCGACTTTTTATACTTATTTTTAGTGTTCCTTCAAGACATACAGGAAGACACTGTGAAAATTTCAGAAACATCGGTCCACATGCTCAATATCATGTTTCTAGGATCATATTATAAAAAAAATGTGATTTATTTTTCATAATAAAGCATTTTTCTTCAATATTACCTTGATTCCGACTTATTTAAGCAATTTATTAACGAAAAACTTATTTTCTAAAAAAGGGCTGAATAGATTTGTATTTATATAATATTTGTCTGTGCTAAATTTCATTGCAATAACAGTGCTAATAAATAAATAAATAAAAACATAATTATTAGCTCTTTTCGGGGGTTTCAGTTGTATGGAAATAATGGACCGATTTCAACCATTTTCAATAGGCTTCGTCCTTGGGTCAAAACAAACGTGTACTCCAAATTTCAAATTATCTTGAAAATTGCGACCTGTACTTTGATAACAACGTTTACATGGACACACGGACGGTCAGTCGGACGGGCGGACATCGTTAAATCGACTTAGAAAGTGATTCGGAGTCGATCGGTATACTTTAAGGTGAGTATAGTACTAATATTTTAATGCGTTACAAACATCAGCACAAACTGTACCCACTGTAGTGGTGTAGGGTATAAATAGTCCTTTGTACCGGAGTTCCCAGTAACACTGCATTGGTATATTTAGTGTTACTAAATAATTCAATTTCTCCAAATTTATTAAAATTGTGAGTTTGAATAAAATCAAATTTCCCGTTTTTCCCCCTTTTGGTACTTTTTTTCTCCCTATTGAAGCAATAAACATTTTATTACAAAAAGTTGCAATATCGTAGTGGAAGCCCATCATTAAGTATTAATTCACATGTACAAATCAATACATAGGACACAATGTTTTATGAAAAAAGTACCAAAAATAGGTACAATGGGGGTATATTGTTTTTGTCATTCCATTTGTAACATCGAAATATTGGTCATAGACCCACAAAAGTATATATATTCTGGGTACTTATTAAATACTAAGACGATCTAGCCATGTCCGTCCGTCCGTCTGTTGAAATCACGATAGGGTCCACACGGGAGGAGCTAGATAGTTGAACTTTTTCATAAATATTCTCTATAGGTAGGGTTTGTTTGGTATTGGAAATGGGCCATATTGATCCATGTTTTCAGATAGCCCCATACAAGTGGACCCCCGAAAAACAGCTTTAACGGCATATCTGTTTTAAAAGTTCGGG